ACAAAGTTTACATGTTTTATTTTAATTATGAATTGAGAAGAACCAAAAACGAATCTAGTCCTTTTCCAAATAGGTATGAGGTAGATGTTTTTAATAAATGGTAATAAGATTTTTTAGATTCATCAAATAATTATTAAGTACCAAAAAAAATGTAAGCCACAATATGAAACTAACTACCCTGTACACAATTCATAGTAGGTATATCTTTTTGCCCAACGCTCACAAACTCAAGTCGTTAATAATTACCATACAAAAAATATTTCAAATTGTTATTTGGGGAAGACCCTTTTGTACCTATAGAAAAAAAACTTCACGCGGTGACTGAGGGTTAAAAGAAAACGATACTATATCGTTACGTCGATGTTTATAGTAAAAAAAAAGAACTGTGAGTAGGTGGCGCTAACTTTGTATGGTCTGGAGTTACCATTGAATGCCGTGCAATAAATGGACTCAAATCCAAACTCAAGTGCCCCATTGTGATGTGTATCTACCTGCTGAGTTTCCCAGTATTACATGGCCCGTTAATACGTTGACAATGGGGAACGGCATATGGGAGTGGCGTACTACGAGTACCTAATATTGTTGTAATCGATTACACTCGAATAAATATAACATACTGTAATTTATACCGCACCCATCTATTATCTAAGATCAAAACTCGCGACTACCTCGGTGGTCAAGAGGTATAGCGAAGCACTTTACCTCCGATGGTTGCGCGTTCGATTCCTCGTACAGTATAAACAATTGTATTCATGAGTATGGTTGTTTGTATCAAATTTCTATGTATTCATATCAGTTGTCTAGTACTCATAACGTATGCTCTGCTTACCTTGGGACTATACAGCATTGTGTGAATTGTCCATGGGTAGGTATAATATAAAATAGTTTTGAAAATAATATTAGTTTATTTCAATTCAAATCGATAACGAACTTAGCGACCTATCTAATAAATCTGTATCATGCTATAAGTACTATGATAAATAATTATTTAATAATTAAATGTGACTCTAAAATTAATAGAAAACTATTAGTTTCTCCCATCTAGACTAGACACGTGAAGTTATAGTACCTTACTGGCCATTCAAATTTGTTAATATGAAAAAGAATGTACCTATGATTTTTAAAGTCACTCAGTAATAAATTACGATTATATCTGTTTGCATATTTATATGATCTTTCCTAAACTCTTTATTTACGGACTATATTTATCTTAAAAAAAACTTCCTATGAATAACTTAAAATACAAGAATAGAATATAAATAATCTTTATTTACATAACTTATTAAGCAATTTTTGTAGTTAGATTATTTAACAAAATCAGCTTGTGTAATGCAAGTCAACTCAATAACATATTTTTAGTATATATAAATGATACTATAAAATCTATTGGAGCAATCTATTCTATCACGTTCCTGTTATAATCCTTATTACAATGATAGTACTTACCTATCGTTATTAGATAACAATCGTAGATATTGTAAGATTATAATATATTTAAAAATATAGGTATACGGCTAAATGATTTCTTTAAATACCTATTTATCTATAATTAAAGATAGGTACTTCCAAACATACAAGTAAATAACAATCTTGATACATAAATTAAATATATAATATACCTATATCTATTATGATAACATTTATTATTATTTGTAGGGTGACGCGTTATATTTTGACATCGTGAGAAATATAAAAATGTGTAATATTAGTCATTGGTATTATTACGAAACGCATATATGAAATATAAAAAAAGGGAACACTTGTCTATGGAGTTCTCACAGCAACATTTAAGCGCAGTCAGTTCACAAAGCACAATGGACATATTGGGCCCATATGTGCAAAACCCTTCACGGTTGATGTCCCCACATTGTGCCCAAATTAAAAACTCTAAAGAAAAACTGTCAAACGACTACCTACCCCGACTTTTGCACTTCATCAAAAATAAATTTATCTCGAAATAATGCAGACCCAACCTGCTTCCTTCATTGTCATCGTTGACAATGAGATAAAAACCTTCGGACCCATCGATTCTTGTCTATTGTTGATTTAAATGCAGAACAACTTTAATATTGTTTTCAAATAAGTTATATTTTTTTTTAGAAATGCGTAGAGATTTTTGTACCAGTTATATTTTAGAATGGTCCATGAATTGAATTCTTTTCTACTCTACATGTCCAGTTCATTGTGTGTTACTTATAATACAACCGCATTTTATTTTGTCTAATTGGTTTTATTATTTGCAATGCACACCAATTTACCGTTCAATTTGCTTGTTCATATTTGATTTTATTTAATTTCAGTGGTTTTTGTATGTTGGAGATTTCTCAGTTTTATTTTATGTCAGTAATTAATCTATTCTATACATATGTAACTGAATGTTTTATTGCGCATGGAAGATATATGAGAAAACTAGCATTTGGGGACTATTTGTCAACGTAATAGAATCTAATACAATGGCTTTAGGATTTTTTCTGTCTGTCTGTGCATAGGTGTGAAGTAAATTCGAATAGGGTCGAACCGATTTGGATAGGGTTTTCAATGTATTATGGAAAGCTTTTTAAAATGTAGTGCATGTTTTATTCCAATCCGATAACAAATGGATACAAAGGCGCGGGTTCAGCTAGTCTTGACGTGAATTTTATTGTAATCGTACCATTTTATTATTTAATAAAATATCACTGTCACATTAATGGAATGCTGCACTGCATAGAATATACCGATGTTTATGCATTATAAGTGTAATGTTAAGCTCTTTACGTAGATCAGGCTTCAAGATGTTATAGATTTTTACATACCAACTAAACATTATGTATGATTAAAATGAACTAACAATACTTATATCTGTTTCGCATAAGAGTACATGTAGAGGTATTAAGATTAGAATAATTCCATTCTCTGGTTTTAAGGCTGAATCAAGAAGAGAAGTTGCAAATTAAAAAGTTATATTAATTGATATGTGAAAATGTAACGATTTACCTGCCTGCTGTAACTGTATACGCTGGCGTGGCTACAGTGGAGGATAACAGGATAATAATCGGATCTTACTGACCTATCCTATCATGGATCCTATCCTATATCCATCCGATTTCACTAGATAATAACCAAAGTATGTTTGTCAATGGAAACTATCTTGAGGTGGGCATGATATGGTCCTCATTACTAACAGATTGAGATGATTTTTCTTTATTTTTGTAATAGTCTATTTGTATAGGTATTGTAATAAGATAATCTATTTTTATAGGTTATTTCAGGGATTACATAAAATCTGCATGTTGTAGGTACCATATACATATATAAAAATGATTGCATATTTATTTGCAAAAAACTGTATAAGTGAATTAATTTGATTAATTTTAAATTAATGATATCAATGATATTTTGATACCTACTAGATTTCAATTTAATTTGATTAAGGCATTAAATATATTTCTGCAGGGATATAATAGAATAAGACGTTGCCAATGTTACTGAATATACAATTTTATGGATTCTTTGATTTGTCCTAAGATTTAGTAATGATGAATGAGCTTACTATTTATGAATGGATGAACTAAACTAAAATTTAAAATTTATATTTTTCTAACAAATGAAAAATATCATTATCATCAATATGTGGTATATAGGTAATTTTTTTAAATAAATAAACAGGATATAAGATTACATATAATATGATTACTTACTCTATACATATGACAAGGGTATCATAAACATGCGTGCTGCAACACCAACTACGGCAATAAACTTATGTATCTAATGTATATTAGTATACCTATATATATATATGTTAGTTATAGTTATTTATATTTACATAATATATGGGCCATTAGTAGCCTGAAATAAATAAATGATAAACTAGAAACTCTAATCCAAGTACTTCTAACGCCCTCTAGCGACAACATCTGAGAACTAATAAGAAATTTGATGTGTCTCTAGGCTTTTTATTTAGTGCAATGCTGTAAACGTAAACTGCGGAAAGTAGTAACGTATAAACGTCGCTAGATGGCGTATAGACGAATTTATATTTTTTTTATGAGATGAGAATATTATCCCAGTATACGCCATTTGTCTATGTTTACACCATACTCTTTTCAGCAGTTTAATGGCGATTTAGATATGCTGTCACTTGTTTTAATGATATACGAAGGTATCGCTAGAATTTATAGCTATATAGCTAGAATTTTCAAACGATGGTTTCCATTTAGCCTGACATGGCACGTTGTTAACATCCCTAAGTCCCCATTAGTTCATTACTTACAAATCACAATGCAGAAAACGTATTCTATTTTAGGACTCTAATTGTATATGGTAAATTTCACCTCATCTAGAAGACAGTCTTAATGGATGTTTTTAAAAAAAACTAGGGGATCGGATTTTTTTATACCGAATAACTTCCATCTAACGTCTCCTTAGCATTTGTACTGTACCTACCCGTCTTAGTGTCTACTACTAATTTAATAATACAATTAAAACAAAAAATATTTGACTTGTGGACATTGTCAATTGCTACTCTGATGGAAAAAAGCAAAACGATGTTTCTGCGTTTAAACTAGGTACTAGCACAGATAACATAATATTGTACTAGTTTGTAGAAGACACCAGGTTTTTTCGTCATAAGTAAATGTAACATTGTTTTTTCCTACCCCTTAGGTACTTTTTATGATCGTATGTAAAAGAATGATATAGTTATACATATATGATTACTACCTAACGATTATCATGATAAATTAATAAAAATTGTTAACCATTACTTACATATTTGCAATAAAATAGCACCAGAAAGTAGTCTTCGATAAAATAATAACAGTTTAGAATATGTATATTTTATATATATTATATTTTTATAAAAACGATAATTGAATTTATAATCAAACAAAATACCTATATAAACTTTGATATAGAGTATTTTGAGTACCAATGTGGTAAATATTACTTGAGTATTTACTTTGAAAAGAGAGAATGATAAAAGTCTGTCATGAATTTGATGATTGATTGACATTTGATAATGACACACAGTAGAAAAATTCATATTATTTATTTTCATGAGGCATGTGCATGAAAGGAAATAAAAATTGTAAAATGAAACTAAAATATATTGATTGGGTTCGATTCATTTATCCTTAATAGTATGTCGGACGTATTCCACAAAAGCTGCTATACATCTCGCAGTACAAGATATAAGTACAGAAGCCTATCAACTAACACAGGTGGACACAAACGGCGTGACAGCAAAGAGGAAAGTACTTTTGATATAAAAATCAAGGAACTTAAAAGAGAGATCACTTCTAAAATCTTGTCTGAAGTGGATATGATGCAAAAGGCTCGAGAATGTATGAACATTAAATTTGAAAATGTAGACGAAAAGATAAACTCTATGGTGGATTTACAAAATACTGTGAAATGTTTGAGGAAAGACTTGCAGAACGCTGAAACCACTTTGGCTGGTATAGTTATGAAAATAGAGCGTCTGAACATGCTCGTTGCTGATAATGAAGCTCGCAGCCTTCGTTCTAGGAGGAGTCCAATTGCAGAAGAAAGATTATTAATAACTACTACTCATATCTAATAAGTAATAGATAAGCAGGCATCTTGATGATTGGTTCTACAGGTAAATTGTTAATGTAACTAATAAATTAAATACAGTTGTTGTAACCTCATATATTTTTATTACATGATCATTTAGATACAACTATAGCTCTGAGAGAACACATTGATTTATAGTTTGAGTGACTAATTAAGGACTATTTCATTAAGAAATAAGTAACATGTTATTTTAAACATTGAGCCTAATATAATGCTAAGCAAAATGTAGTTTAAAGTAATAGTATCACTAATTTATAGAATAATAATAAATTATTGATTAAGAAAATTAGCTAAACTTGAAACAAGATTGTTATATTTATTACTACTACTTACTTATTTGGAAAATTTACAACAATCGAAGTAAGTATATTTAATAATATGGCACACTTTAAAACTAAAATCTTTGCTCCATAAACCTAAATATAACAGTACAATAAAAGGCAGTAAACAATTTCATTAGATACAATTATAATGTACTTAACATACGACTAGATATTAAATATTAAAGTATGGAAGATTTAAACTAATTTCTTTAATAAAAACTAGTAAATTTTGTTTACTTAACCATATACAATAAACGAACACGAATTTATATAAATGCAACGAAAAATACTCTAAAATTAGTCTAAGTACTTGATAAATCCAAATTTTGTGCACCAATTTATAGAAATATAGATAGGTATGAATTACAAATAAACATATCCTAAATAAGAAATTGTTGAACAATTTTAACATCAAATTATTTTAACAAAGATATCACAACATTGAAATACACGTATTATGGCTACCACATACAGATCAAAATTCCATAAACATTAAAATTACGTAGCTGAGCTACGAATTCAAAGAAGGTAATGAAACATTTATTACGATTTTTTTTTTCGGAACAAACTATCCAAACTTGTTTCGTCACAACTGTTACGATTCTTTACTCCGCTACCAAATTAAAAATAATTCTCAGCAGATTTAAAAAGCTACTATAAACATATTCATTGAGACTGAAATAATATTTAATAACTTATTATTAAAATAATAATATTAATATAATAATAGCAGACAGCTATAAATATAAAAAAAATAATAGAGCAGGAAATATTTTACAAGGTATACTGTTTGATATATAAAGTATTTAATTTGTAAAAAAATACAAAATTTGTCATTCTACTTTATACGATTTTCCTTTCTATATCTATCGCTGTAATAATTTCTCTTTCACAGTTCCTCATATTTTATATTATCAATTTTACTAGAAGAGTCTGCTTATTATTATGTTTATGTGCATAGAACTACTTTTGTAAATTTAATCAATCAAAATATATTTATGTTCTCCATTTATTTATCGTGAGAACTAATATACACATAATCAGTACAATAAGCAGGCTCTTTACGGAAAGTAATGGTAATACCAAAGTTATAGGCATACCTGTTTAGACAAATTTCCATCAACTAGAAGAGTTTTACATATATTCTATTGAGTATTTACCTGATTTACATGCAATTATTTTAAAATTTTTGCATAGTAGATTAATCTTAGTCGAATAAACAGATAAAAGCTCTCAAAAGGCCCTCACCAAAACGAGCACAGCACCCAGGTTTTTTGCGTTTCTCTTCGGGCGCAAAACATGGCTGTTTTGGCCGTTTAGGACGGCGACCGCACAGCTTGCTTGGTTGTGGTTCTGGAGGAGGTTCAGAACGTGTGCTCAGATGCACAGGCAAAGCAGCTGGCTCCGTAGGTCGAGGTCGTGCCCATCTTCGTAGCAACCCCTCCTGCTCTGCTCCCACAGGGACTGGTGCTGATAGCTTTTTCGCTCGTGCTGTAACTAACGCGCGCTCTATTGGCTCCAATAGCTCCAACTCCAAAGCTTTAGTTAACTCTTCGCCGGATAACAGAAGGTATCGAGGACAATACGCCAATTCACCGAGTGCTACTCGTTTGTTACTTGATGTCAATTCCCGTTTGTGACGTTTGCAAGTTGCCGTACTCCATCGGGATAATGCTTCCACTAATACGAGTTCATTGGATACTCGAAAAGTGTCCCGTTTCACAATAAGTGCTAGATCTTCATAAGCGAGATCTTCGAGTCGTTCATCAGCGAGAGCCGCATCTGCATCGTTGTCTAACACAAGAAGTGCATTATGAGCAAGCGAATCACACCAACGTGAACACTGTGCCAATGATCTTGCGGCGTTGTCATTAGTAAGGGCCGGTAGAGGTGGTGCTGATGCCGCTCCGGGCAGTCTCGCGCATAGAAATCGTAGGTCCCGTAATATTTCTAGAGCAACACCTGCATCTAACATCTCGTCGAGACGTCGTGCACAGCGTTCTGCAAGAGGTGCACAAAGAAATTTGTACGCCGCGTCCAGAGCACATCGTGCTGTTGCAACGGAATTAAGCTGTGTTGGTTCACAGTAGTGGTATCGTAGAAGCTGCTCAAAGCCACGGCGGTCAACATAGTCAACGATGATAACATCAGTTTTAACAGAGAGTAAAGCTGCGAAGACTGGACTTGTAGCAGCTAATACGCGTCGATGGCCGGGATACCTCCAGGTATCGCCGTTGATACCAGCTACAAAGACGATATCGCTTTGCTTCTCGTTATCATATAACCTCGTGTGTTCATCAAGCATTTGCCCATAGCAATCACTACCAACCTCACTCTCACGCCCCGATTCTATTTCATCATCAGATTGCGATGTACACGCTGGATTCATTACGATTGTCATTTTCGTGCCTCTTTTGGACCTGAAAATAAAAAAAAACTAATATTAGATGTAATAGTAACAAATATTGAATAGTAAAATGGCAACACCAGAATGTGGTAAAAGTGCACTAAATTGAAAGTAGCATCTGGACTTTTTTTCTATTTATTTGTAGTGTATTATGTATGCTTTTATCAAATAAATAGAACAGTTTTATTATCCAATTAATTTATAAAAACAAATTTATTTACATAATAATGATTCTTTTTTTTAGTATAATAGTAGCATATTTGGAATATTGAAAAATATACCCAATATGGTTTTAATTAGAGCATTCGAAACCAAACATATTTTAGTTTTTTTGTCTGTTTTGTGGTTCTTTTTGTATGTTTGTCGTGTACAAACACATCACGCCAAAACTATTGTATGAAATTGAATATAGTGTTTACCGAAATATTACTAGAGGTCTAACCTAAAATATAGCCTATATTTTAAACAAGGGTGGGTACAATATTTACGACTTTACAATTAATAACTAGTACGCCAAAACTATTCATTACAATAACTGTACTAATTTCCTGGTCTGTTACTTTTTTTCATATATCGCGAACAAGATGTTAAACAGTCCTTTTAGCATCCTTATAATTCCTTTAAGAGCATATCAGCACCATATAAAGAATCATTATTGCTTTGCCTTGTATTACGAATCGTCTATAGGTGCTAACCTGACAGCCAAGGGCAGTAGCTGTTTACTTTAATATTTATCTACATTTTTTACAAATAACAGGCAACAAGATATTGTTGGACTATTATGTTTTGTCTTCGTAATAAAGACGTAATGTATATTCTTCTTATTTACACAATCTAGTATTTGTTATATAATACTTGCATCAAATCAGTGATCTAGATGTTCAATATTTTATTTACGTAACATTAATTTATCTTTAGTGCAATATACTTAAGTACGCTAAAAAATATAATTGACCTCCAAAAAGTTCATGTTGCTCAAGATGAATAAATTTTATTCCGTCATTGTTTGTAGCTGAAATGATGATGAATATAATCATCTTTCAAGTTTCACATATAATCTTCGTAATATTACCAATTTAAAGTTTTTATAGGTTTGGGCAACTCAATTCCAGTTACACAGTTAAGGATTAATCAACGTTTTTAATTATTTATTGACCCCTCATAATGTTTACCACTAATTTTATGGTCCCCAAAACCAATATATTTTAAGTCAGTGGTACATCACGCAATTATGAATGAAACAGGTATTAATAGAGCTTTGTAATACAATAATAAAATTTAAACATATCTACTAGTATACAAAGCAGTAATAAATTCGTAGTAAATTCGCATTCGTAGTAAATTAATTAGTAGTAAATTCGCAATAAATCATTGACAAGATTTTAAATTCTTGTATATAAATGTATCTCTCTTTATGAATTAGAAACCCATTAGGTATCAAGCATTTAAGTATTGTTATATTCACATTGGTCTCTACATAGATTTATCGAAATATTTAAATTTTTAACTGTAAATAACAAAATAAATATATCATATATCTATTTTGTATATAACATCAGTAAAAAAGTAAATAGGTCATATTAACCCGTCCGTATCACCGAACGCTGGCGGAAAGCTGTTATTGATTTTTCGTCGCAGGCATTTGCTAGGTGCATAGTCGTAATATAAGAGGTCTATCTGGTACCTATCTTGGATTCTGTACAAGCATAATAAAATAAGTACCTACATGCCTTTTCATATTAAAATTATAATCTGTCTATTATCCAAAATAATTATATATTCTTTATTAAACTGATAACACATTAATAATATAATTTAGAGAAAATTTGTGTGTTATTTTTTTTTAAATACACAACTGTGGTATTATCTGGTAATGTTACCAAATTGGTGTTACCGCATGTAATGTCTTTTACAGTATTATATCTTTAATTTTATTTATAAGAAGTATATTCTTTTTGTACCTATATGTTAACAAGGTAACAAATAAGCAAAAATAGATTTGGAAGACAAAATTTGGTATTTACAAAAACGCAAGTAGTTTTAGATATTTTTACAGCTATCTTTAATTACCTTGTTAAAACAGTTCTGTATAAAGACGAATGTAAGCACAATACGTGATTGGGGCATGTGGCGAAATAGCTGGAAAGCGTGTTGTCCGATATATGCGTCAACACTGCATGCGTCAGAGCGAGTATGCAATTCCTTAAAATTAAACAAATACGGGATATGGCTGCACTGAAGTACAATGTAATAACAGTCTTGATTTCTTGGCTCTCAATAAATTAGCTGTTCCTAACACATATATGGTACTCGTATTTCGCAACTGTGTATTGAAAGTTTACTATAATTATAATATGAGTTGGCATTATGGAGGTGGATGCCGAATGAAATAAACTCATTGGGCCGAAAGACAATTATATATTTTCTTAAACATTTTTAGCATGTCACTAGCTACGCAGCTTAACAGTTGAGTCTATTTTCTGCTGCTGTATTTAGGAATAAATGATGAAATTGCCGTAAATATATTAAATATTTGGCATATAAAATATACTAATTAGGAATGACGCACGGGCAAGGATCACGGTTTAATTGTAAAATATCTATAATGCATCTAAAATAAATTTGTGTTGTACAAAATATCCAATCTCTTAGTTTTACTATAATTATTATTATAATAGAATTAATATGTCCAGTATTTGACGGCAAACAAAAAATGATCTAGGTTCATCTCGCTTTGATTCAACAAGCTGCCGCGACCATTTAACATCAACATAATCAATTTACGTTTCCGTGTTCTTAACTATAAGTCTGAAAGATCTACTCCATTAGTAGTTTTCCGTAACAGCTGTCCACTGCCGAATTCCTTGCTTCGCCTTACGCAATTCGAAATCCGCAGACTGTTATATTTTTGTCTGGTAAGAGATGCACAATGTAATTTCGAAACTGAAGGGACATTTACGATTGTGGGCTTTGGTTATTTGTGATGCCCCCGATGACCTACATAACATTCGCATAGTTTCAGTGGCGCTCAGAGATTGCCCTATATTTAGATATGATCGTTGCGTGCAATGTTACGAAAGCAAATGCATTTCTCTCTTTAGTCTATTAGCAACACACAGAGATTCAGCACAATCACATATGGCGTTTATATCGAGACAAGGCGGTTATTATCTACTACCGGGTACAGTAGGTACTTTATCTAAGTAGGTGACTACTCTTCAAGGAGTAGCTATACCCTCTATTATATATTAGGTATATTGACCAGGATATAAGTAGTCCACTTCCATTATCTAGAAATATTATGAGAATGTTAACAAACACACTAAAATTTATAATTTCCTATATAATAATTTTATTGAATAAATATTTCTAGGTTACAATAAATCTTTCGTTTTTAGCATTATATATTATACCTACATTGTATATCTATTTACATGCTCAATCTATTTTCCAAAATAGGTATTTTCTGTTTCTAAAGATAATTGTTTATAAATGAAAGAATTAGAACAATTCAACATCTACAAAATCTTTTGTAAACAAAGATTTTGTAGGACATACAAAGATTTTGTAGGACTAACGACATCGTTAGTTAATAACACTACCTACATTCTATTATTTTACTAGAATGTGAAGTTTCGCTATGAATGTTCAGTTGACTCTATGTTTAGAAGGACCTCTATCAAATTTGAAGTGTAAACGGTTTATAGAGAATATAATATTAAATTAGGCACAAGATACGATCGAATCAGTAACTAAAGATCAAAATAAATCATGTAAACATGATGAAGGTCCCTGCTCCGGTGCTCATGCATGTATCCTACGAATGTCGTAACTTTACTCTAATAACGGTTAGTGAGTGGTAACCTTCCACTGATTTCAAGGCACTTTTAATTATTTTCAATGCACCATTAAGACAATTATGTATCTAATTTGTATTCAGTGATTTCAGGGACACTGTATTCGGTTCTGATGCTCCTGAAATTTAAAAGAAACTACTACAACTACTAAATTTTGTTAGTACTAACTGTAATGTTTTAAAATTTGAATAGTTCGTTCGCCGTAAAGAAAACAATGATCTTTCTAGTATTTTAATTTTCGCTACAATCGGCGAGGGAATGTAATTTCGTTTATGATTGTTGCAAGAAAAGAAATTATAAATCTATCGTTGTATGTATTTATAGATTTTTTTGACTTGATTTTCAGGTTCGTCCTTTTTATTATCTTACTAATAAACGCTACAGTCTGTTAGTACTGATGGATGGATAGACGTTGAATAGGTACTCTTTCAAGCAGCAGGAACGAATTTGATGAAACTGTACAGTAATATAGCTTACAGAATAACACGTAGGCTATAAATTTCATGCGAATGAAATCGCGGACACAGCTAGTATAATATAAATTGGAATGTAAAATTGTATCAAAATCAATCTTAATTCCGATATGTATTTTATTTACAGTAATCCAAATTCTGTAATCATGTAAAGTCAAAATTAAAAATATATCGATAGTACACTTAAAAAATATAAATGCAATATACATATACTTGTGTGATCATATTAGCACATTTTTATACATTAATCCTATCCGTATATGTATTACTTAATATACATTGCATACATATACAATAATATTATTATATTTAGTATAATAGGTAATTAGGTAGAACCCGTGGTAAGTTTGTATAAAAAAAGTTATAAGTACTACGAATTGTGAGTAGACACTATAGAAACGATAGAAACACTTTTTTGTAAAGACATAACTTTAATGTAGCATATATGTATTATAACATATATTTATTAAACACAGAAATCCAGACCAGAGATAAACATTTCATATTTTTGTTAAAGATTTTTTATGTAATTGGAACGTCAAGATGTAAGTACGTTTGTTCTAAATTTATGAATTCTATATTTAAAAAAAGCAATTAAGAAGCCAGTTAATAAATGAGTTGTTAACAATTTAATCAATTATTTATGGAAGTTATTTGTGGAAATTAGGTACATCACAGTGCAT